CGGCGCATCCCGGCAGTTCAGCAGCCTCCCCCTCCCATCCAACTCTTCCTCCCCGGCATCTGATTGTGCCAGGGAGCGACGTGCCGCGGCTCAGGGGATCCATGGGATCCCACCACGGCGTCTCAACTTTGGTGCGGCTTTTAAAAGCCGCACTTTTCCCTGTGTTTTCCCTGCCGTGTGGCAGGGGCCTTAGAGGGAACACTGGTCCCTTGTAGTTTCCCATCCAGCGTGAACTGATGTATAGAAAAGTCAACAGTGAAAATCAAGATTTTCCCTCGACTTTCATCTTTGCTGTGAATTTTCTTCAGGTACAGCAAATCCAGAAAAGAAGAAGGCAACTCCACAAGTAATATTTCTTAAAATATTTTGTATTGTTGCACTGCTGTGAGGAATTTTGATAATCAGTCCTCTTTGAGTATTTCAGGGCCTGTGTTTAAGCTCTTTCCAAAAGATCAAACAGTTTGGGGAAACATCTAACAAATTGGATTGAGCCATGGGAAAAAAGAGAAACCACTCAAGTTGTTTAGTTTACTACCCGCAAACAAGGATGTGGCTTGCAGCTTGGTGAAGATTTCTTAGGCACTTGAATGAAGATTTCATGTTAATTTGGTCATTATTTGTAATTTTAGAAAAGCTATTTCGGAGCTGAATCACTTGTCTGGAATTTCTTTCATTTCCCGGGAGTAAATGTCAAATGTCTGAGCCGCACAGTTTAAATGAGCAGTAAATCAAATGCCCGTTAGACTAAACTATGAGAAATGGTGTTTTCTTTCCTTGGCAGTTGTGTACCCCTGTGCTTTTTAGCGTCTGCATGAAACCAGTGGCTGAGAACAGGGATGCAAATGATATCCGGCCTTCTTCATTTGATCCAGATGAGGCAGGTGGCTTCCTTAAGTGGGCATCTGCAATCAGTGGTGGACCGAGGAACAAATAAACTCAGTCCAGACAGCGCTGATGATGGTGGAGACTTGGCGGCGAAATGCCCATCCTTAATGGGCTTACACTCTCCCTTACTTGGCAGGCTGGTAATTTTGGGATGCTGCTGGCATCTCATGGCCAGGCGTACCTTCTCCCATCTTTGGTGTACCACACCCACTGCTGGAAGGTGGAGAACTGGCAATCTCGTTGACTTTGAGGGTGTGGTCACACGAAAAGTTTGCCGCAGCAGTATATCAGCTCTAGATAAGACTTTGCGTTTGAGATGCTTTGCGCTGATCACACAGCGCCCCCTAAGCTGGTATCATAGTGCTGCGGGCCCATGGTTGGTCGTTCACATCGCTAATGCACCACAACCATAGACTTATGGCCGGGTTGGGTTTTTTCCCTAAGTCCCGCTGTGTGCGCGCAGAAGCAGACAAGTGCACATGCGCTCCTGGCCACGTTCTGTGGGGGCACTGAAGCGCACATCGGAGTGGGGTTGGGAGAAAAAGGACGCACTGGAAACAGAGTGGAATGATCATACTGCTCGTGCGTTTCCATGGAGCCCATGCTGATCAGATGCCCAGAAACCCATCGTGGAAGCGCCTCGCCAAGGTAGCCACTGGAATTTGCCGATGGCTAGCTAATCCATGTTGGAGTCATTTTAGCATAAGGTAGGGACAAGTGGAGCACAGGACGGGAGCCAGATGTGTGCGTTTGATTGTGGTCATTTGATCTGGAGGAGAGGAGTGTGGCTATGTCAGGCCAAACTGCTTGTGTGATCACATACTGGGATTAGGCTACTTCCAAGTATTCTGCATTGAGCTGTGCCTAGAGACAGTTTCGAAATTATAGTGGGTACAGAATGCTGCTGCACATGCGTTGATGGGTATAAGTTAGTGAGAACACATTGCACCTGTTCTATAACATTTCCATTGGTTGGTTTTGTTTATGGGGATCAGCTTCAGGTACTCATGTTGACCTTTAAAGCATTATTTGATTGGGATTCCTGAGGACGGCTTCTCCCACATAAGCCTTCTGGAGCCTGCAGACCTACTTGTGAAACCCTGCTTCTGTAGGTGTCCTCTGTCAGGAGCAGGGTCTTTTCTGTGGTGGCTCTGGAACTGAGAAATGCTGTTCTTGTAAAGTCTGTTGCACTTTCATACACAGGGGGAAACACTGGGTGCTTAGGGGGTTGTTGACATTCCTACTGGTTTTATTGTGGCAAAATCCTGAGGGTCTGCCACCCCAAAATATTTTGATGGCTCTAAAACATGCATCAGCAGTATTAGCAGTACCTCCCTTGGGGCCAGTCAGGTAGCCTAAGTCCAGACAGTGACAATGGGTAGAGGATTCATCCCTCAAATCTTCCCACACTGCCGGCAGCCGGGAGAAAGGTGAGCCCAGATGCACTGCAGGGGCCACAAGCTTCCCTTCAACCCACACAGTGAGAGATACAGGCCAAACATCACCACCCACATGAGCCAATCCCCAGTGGTAGGTCAGCCATTTTGCCGGTTATCCACGATTGTAGAGCAACCTCCTCAGTCCCATTTCCCCGCTGTGTCCATGGAGATGACAAACACAAGGAGAAATTCTGCACCCCCAGGATTCAGAGATCCCGAGGGAAAGCACCACAGTGTGTTAGAAAACTGAAATAAAAGGTCACAGAACCTCCTAATGTTTCCCATACCTGGCCTGTGGTTAATTTTCTTTACCAATTTTGTATCATAATTTTTTCCCCCGAAAGAGGGGGAATGTTAATTATAAATACAAGGCCCTGGTCACATGGGAGATTTTGGCCCGGGAGAGGGACGGATCGGGGGCGCAGCAAACGGCCGCGATCTCACCGCAACATCTGGGAAGCGGCGCACGCCCGTCCCCGATCTGTCCCTACACCCGGGAAACCCGCTGCAAAAAAGAACCTCCTACAGAGGAGGACTTACCTGCAGCACCGCAGCAAGCGCCTTCCCCCCCCCCGGCATCTGATCATGCTGGGGAGGAACTGCGCGGCAGCTCAGGGGATCTATGTGATCCCGCCGCCGCGTGTTTCTTTTGGTGCACCTTTAAAAAGCCGCACTTTGGCCGTACTCCCCCCCCCCGTGTGGCAGGGGCCCAAGTTGGTCTTTTGCTCTGTGCAGGAAGCAGGACACTTGGTTTTCACAGCAGAGCACCTCACATGTAGGTTACCAACCTTGTGGTGGCTGAAGACCTCCTGGGATTACAACTGATCTCCGGCCAACAAAGATCAGTTCACCTGGAGAAAATGGCTACCTTGGAGGGTGGACTATATGGCGTTATACTCCGCGGAGGTCCCTCCCCAAACCCCGCCCTCCTCAAGCTCCACCCCCAGAATGCCCAGGTATTTCCCAACCTGGAGCCAGCAACCCTCGGTCAGTGAGAGAAACGCAAGGCCTGCCTGTTTTTCAGGAGGGCAACTGGAACTCACATGTTGTTCCTGGTCATTTGGGGGAAACTTCCTTGCCTAGAGGACCGGCAGATATTGAAACAGCCTAGCCTACTGCCTTCCTTCCTCTCTTGACCCACTTACCTACTAACACAGTCCCAGAATTAGAACTGCAAGGAATCCCTATAAGCTTGTCTGTGGTTTCCGCCCGTCTGTGCTGCCGGAAACATTGTGAACAATTACTGCCATCTACCGGCCATTCCCAAAGATTTAAAATCTAGAAAAATCCAAACGGGGAATGGGGTCTAACGTTTTAAAACAGAATTCCACTGTGTGTTATCTCCGTACCCAGACTGATGGTATAATTGCTGACAGACGGGCTCCTTGGGAATAACGTGCGGCTGGCCACACACCATCACGATGACGTTTCTGTTAGTGCTAACATAACCGTTAAGACAGGCTCTGTTACCCCTCCAGAAGACCACCTCCTGCCACAAATCAAACTCCCTGTTAGAAATTTTACCTCACGAATATGTGTCAGACTCATTCCTGCAGGCTTCAGCTGAGTTCATCTTACAGAGACAGCGAAGGTTTCCTATTCCCGGAGCCAGATATTACACTTGCAATGTGTGTCTCTGGGAGCAATTAATAATTTCTTCATTGCTGGAGGCTGCTTTTTTATGTCACATTTGGGAGCTCAGTTAGATTAGATGTGGAGATAGCCACGATCAGATCTCTTCACAGGTGTATATATAAGTGTGTGTGTGTGTGTGTTAACTTTAATATATACGTGAGGAAGTTAACTTTTCCTCACATCAGTTCCTAATCTTCCTCCCTCTCTCATAGAGAGAGATTAGGAATTGATGTGAGGAAATGTTAACTTCCGTTTCCCTAGCACATGGACCAATCCAGATGGCCTCATAGGGAGTTCCAGCAATCGCTCTCTAATGCCATGTTTAGTTTAGTCTTTGCTCTGTCACGGGTAGATCAGTCAGCACAGCAATACAGTAAGAAAGCTGCAAACAGAACTTGTACAGCATTTGCACGGGCAAAAAGTCTCCTTCGGTGTATTGCTTCCTTACATAGAATCAAAAAGATTCTCTCCAAGCACGGCGGAAAGGGGCAGGGGAAAAAAGCGGTGCTGTTTGAAATGGCCACAGCACTTCAGAGATGTCTCATTGATGGAATGAAATTCGCTGTATGAAACCCCTGTCCCCGCATCGCGTTGCTCAAAATTGGGCCAACAACGGATAACATCCAGTTTAGCATGGTAATGTGAAAGGCGCCACTATGCCCAGAAAACCCTCTTAGCTCAGTTCTGTTCAGTGGCAAGATCTGCTCATTGGAAAGCTTCCCTGTCAGTTACAGTATCTCATTGCTATCTTCCCCTCTCTCTGACCTCTGTGAACTCAAAGCAAGGCAACCGGAATAACAAAGATCTGAATATATCAAATATTATTGTTTTATTTGCTTTTGTCACATATAAGAAATTAACAGGGGAGGGTTATTTGATTAGACATTAAATGAATGCACATCCCCAGATGCTCGTTACTGATCAAAGAAATGGGATTGCTGGGTTTAAAATAACCGTTTTCCTTTTTCACAAGGAAAGGGGCAGATTTCTTCATTGTGTTCTTCATGTATGGCTGAAGGATTGATCTGTTGTGATTCTCAGGGCCAACCAGGATCACTTGGGCAGCAGGGGCTCTCGGGACCCCCTGGAGTGGAAGGCATCCCAGGTCTGCCAGGGCACAAAGGGGACAAAGGCGAAAGAGGCCGACCAGGAATATCTGGACCAACAGGAGAAGTGGTAATGTCTGAAGGATTGTCTCTTTCCTTAGGTCCCTGAGCACCAGCTATGGTCTTCCGGCAGCCCACCTATTGGCTGTCCCAACACTTAGGATGGCCTGTCTGGCACTGACCTGAGTGCGGGCCTTTCCCTTCATGGCTGTGGGATGGGTTTCCTGAAGAGGCAAAGGGTGCTGCAAATCCTGCCTATTTGCCAGGGCTTTTAAGGGGGTCTGAATGGTAGACATCTCTTAAGGGAGGTGGGAGATATCTGGGATTTGCTATTCTGGAAATATTTTAACTATTAATATAAGTCATTTTGAACCATGGTGGGCAGCCTTGTTGGTCTGAAGCAATAGTTCATTTTGAACTGTAAGGGAAATGTGGGGTAATTAATGAAATAATGGGGCAATACCCCCAAAGACCAGCCTCATTGTGAAGAACAAACAGACAGAATTATTATTTTCTTCGTTTTTTTTAAATCCTAGGGTCAAAGAGGGGTCACTGGATTTCCCGGCGCAGATGGCGTTCCCGTAAGTTGCTGTTCATTCTGGTAATTGGGAAGGCTGAATTTCTGGAAACCAAAGCAAAGTTACAACCTTTAAAGCCCGTTGACTTCAGTGGAGATAGAAGAGTGTGTCTGTGTTCATGATGGCACTGTAAATCTCTTCTTGCCTGTTGGGCTCGGTCACACGTATGCCAACTTTTGTAGGAAATGAGAGGTATCTTGTGATCCTAGAGACAATAAGGGAGGTTTTGAAGAAGTGATGAAGGTGTGCGAATCTTCCTCAATCATGGAATACGAACGCCGCGAGCAGTTCGTGGGACAGCATTATTGTTTCGTTCAACAATGCCTTGTGTCATTTTTAAAGTTCGTATATCGAGGTATGAAGTAATAAGCAAAGAAGATTTTTTTTAATTTCTAGACTGTTTTCACAGAAATCCCCAAGCAGATTTCCCAGATGTAGCCTCTTCTCGCAGCGCCCTTTGACACCAGGCCTTTGTCTACCACCCACAGGCAGAAATCCAAACATGTTCCAAATGTCTATTTTCAGATTCCTGTCTCTCCCGCCTACGCTTTTCTCTGTATGTTGCTTTGCAGAGCCAATACCAGAGAACCCTTAACCTATCTTTTGGGCTCCATTGTCAATTACAGAAATTACCTCAACTTTCGTGGAATTTTCAGCACATGGAATAGTTGGGATGGTCATTTGACTATATAAGGACATACAGTGATACAACACTGCATACTTCCAATGTCATACATTTCTGACACAGGAAACAAGGGAACAGGATGAAAACCGCACCAAGTTTTATGTGCAACGATCACACATATACCGTCGTCACATGATGTGTCTATGCTAAGATGCTCTGGCCAGTCACCTCTTTAAATAGCATGCAGTACAATAGGTGCACATTCAGTTATCACATTGGCCAACTAAGTACAGTTTTCTTATGCTTCCCCACAGAAAATGTCTTCCTTCTGCGGTATATATAGATCCTTGGGGGTTAGATGCATGGGAAGACCAGATTTCACTTCCTGCCTCACTGAAGGCTCAGACAGATGAGACAAAGATTACTTTCATATTTGTCCGCCAATAAATACAAATTATAGCCTTAAGAACATAAGAACATAAGAGACGCCAATGTTGGATCAGGCCAAAGGCCCATCCAGTCCAACACTCTGTGTCACACAGTGGCCAGTCTTCTGAAGCCTTCTGAAGCCTCAGTTTGCCTTGGGGCCGTGCAAGGAAGGGAGAGGGTTTAACCCCTTTGACCTCTACTTGGCTTTACTGTTTAAAGTCAGGCAATGGAAGTTGAAGGCTTAAAGTCCCCACAGGGCTTTGAGATAAACTGAGGCTGCACCAGCCTATAATTTATATTTTACAAATGACACAAGATGTGTAATCTTTGTCTCTTTGAGCGCCCATTATTATTATTATTTTAAAATACATTTTATTAAGTTTTTGGTAAATTACAAACAGTACAGTAAAATTGCATATAAATTGTAAAAAGCTGTTCAAATGTAATACATGCATAGTACATACAGGAAAAGTAGGACTTAGTGTTATCCCGTTCAAAGACTGTATGCTTTTCTATAATGTGGTTGCGCAAACTCCCATGTACAGTGTATCATTTATTGTGTGTGTATATATATATATATACCCTGTTTTCCCGAAAATAAGACCTACCCCAAAAATAAGCCCTAGCAGGATTTCTATGCATTTGTGGTATAAGCCCTAGTGTGTCTTCTTGAGAAAAAATAAATATAAGACAGTGTCTTATTTTCGGGGAAACACGGTAGTATAGAACAGTAGTTCATCAGTTCGAGACACGAGTGTGCCGCATGACGGAGTGAGCTCCCGTCTCTAGTTCCAGCTCCTGCCAACCCAGCAGTTCGAAAGCAAGAAATTGCAAGTAGATAAATAGGTACCACTTTGGTGGGAAGGTAACAGCGTTCCGTGCACCTTGGTGTTTAGTCATGCTGGCCACATGACCATGGAAATGTCTTCGGACAGCACTGGCTCTTCAGCTTTGAAACGGAGATGAGCACCGCAACCCTAGAGTCGGATTCGACTGGCTTTCGAACAAGGGAACCTTTACCTAAGCTATAGTGAAATAATGTGTTCCCAGTCAAACTTATCTATGTGTATCTTATCCAATATGGGATACCTTTGAGCGCCCATTAGACCTTATTTGCTGTGGACAGATTGGGCAGCAAAATATCTCTGTCAGCAGGGTCCTCTTTGGTGATCTTTTTATCTAAAAGCTCACTTTCAGGAGGTATAGATACAGTTCTATATAGAACTTCCATGACACCTGCTGGTGTAACTGAAAACGACTATAGTTGTGTGTGGGAGGTTTCCACTCTTTTCAAGGTGAGTGCCCGTAGGCAAGGGCAGTGCTCTGGATATGGCAAGGCTATCTATGGCTATATGGCTTTGAAAAGGTAAGTGTCCAAGAATACCTTTTAACCTGTCCAGTTCCTTTTTCTTCTTAATACGCCAGTAAATCAGGAAAGATGGAAATCACTCAGGCCCGTCATTAGACCTATGGTATGATAAGCTTTGGATGCAATTTATTATGGGGAAAATAGCGGATGGCATAGCAAATCACACTAACGAGGATTATCAAACACCATTCATATGTAAGCGGTTTCCAATAATTCAGTTTCTCTCAGAAAAGGAAGTGGTTCCCTCTTTTGCTAATGATAACTACTGGCTTTGTTTCTGAAAATAGAATTATTTAAAGTAACATATAGGTTAAAGCTACTAACCCACCCATGAACTGTTGCTAGCAGCAAGATAGATGTTATGTTAATGAGCATAATGATATCTCCTTAAGTATTTAGATAACGTTAACTAATGTTTGTTGTTATTCCTTTGGCTCTTCTCATCATTATGTTGTTATATTCTTGTATTGTTACATGTGGAAAACAGTGAATAAACCTTTGTTGATATTTTTTTTTAAAAAAGGAAAGCTAGCTGCTGAGAGATACAGAAAACTAAATCCAATAAGAGTACACTCAATCCAAAGCCTTTTATTGGCATATAAATAAAGATACAGTAATCTAAGTACATACAGAGTCAAATTAAAATTGCCGAGTAACATCACAGAGTATCATCATAAAAAACCTAATTCATAATATCATTTATCAGGCCGTAGGGCCATGGCACTGCAGAGAAACTTTGCTGCTATTTCAGTTATTTCTGTATCTGAGTTATCGAGCAAGAAAAGGAGCTTAAAATCATCAGGGGTCTCTAAAAAATGGCCTAATATGGGATATAGAAGATCCCGACGGGACGCCAAATAGAGAGGGCACTGGAAAAGGACATGGGCAACAGTTTCAACACAATCCTTCATACAAGGACAGCACCTGCTAGGATAGGGAATCCCTTGGAATCTGCCAGATAAGATAGCTGAAGGAAGAACATTAAATCTAGCCAAGGATATGGCTCTATGCAAATTTGGAGCTATGAGTTGATAGAGGTATACTGCTGGAAGATTTGCATTAGGAATAACCAATAAGAGTACAAACTGGGCCAACGTTTCTCTCCCGCGAGTAACCACTGAAGGCATGAGTAGCCCATCTGAAGCGTGGATGCCAGAAGTGGCCCAGGAAACATGAGATGGGGACGCACTTGGACAGGAGCATGCGCATAAGATCATGGAAGTGCCCTGACACCACAAAGGGCACCGTGTGCATATCCAATTGTGGCCGGGCCCCTCCAACCATATTTTGCTGCACCCCGCACATACAGTGCTGCCGGGCTTTCCCAGCTCGAACTGAAACCAAGTGGGAGGTGTTTGGTTGTGGTCACATGCACAGTTTCTGGCACTATAGTGGCACTACCTGAGGGGATTAATGGACCCCTCCAGACAAGAACATCTGCCTCCCGTGGCGCAGTCATCAGCAGCCCGTGCTGTTTCGCAGTGGAAGTGGAATAAACAGATACCAGGGAACAGGGGTCGTTTCGTAGAAAAAGAGCTAGGGGAACTCATTAGCATAACTCATTAGCATATGCCCCTGACATCACCAGAAGTGTGTCATAAGGCCACACCCCCTGACATCACCGGAAGTGTGTCATAAGGCCACACACCCCACCCCCACCTGTCCCGGCCGCCACCGCCAGTCTTGCAGCTCCACTGCTGAGCCCCATGAGGGGCCCGGCGGTGGACCTGCAAGGCTGGCGGGAGTGCAAGGAAGCCCCGCGAAGGCCCTCCCTGGCCCCAGGCAGGCAGGGGTGGGGAGAGGCAGGGAGGAAGCAACTTACCCTCCCTCTTCTCCTGCCTCCTCCTGGCTGAATGAGGGCCGGAAGCGGGGCGGCCGGAAGCGGGGGCGGGGCTTCGTCATGTGCCCCGCCCCCGTACCTCACCCGGGGGAACTGTGATCCCCCCCCGAAATGACCTCTGCCAGGGAAAGTCCGGTATGAACGGGTTGTTCGGGGGTTCCCTCCGGGTTTTCCGTCGTCTGAACTCTGTTGCAGCGAAAGGAACCCGGAAGGGACGTCTGAACTTGCAGATCTGTTTCCACCACTGTTTTTTTAGTTGCTGCCTTTTAGTTGCTGCACATTGCAGGAGCGCATATGTACATCCACCACTTGCATTTAAATAAAACCCACTCTTACGGCTCATCCCGTGGTTGAAGCGCAACCCTAATGTGGACTCCCCCCACCCCCAGAACGACAGCATGGGTAACCTCCTCACAGGGTGCGTGGTCTGGATGGAATACTCCACTGCACTTTGAACAAGTACAATTTAAGGCACCACCATACCGCTCCAAAGGAGCTGCGGTGGCTCAAGTGGTTAAGACGCTGAACTGCAGACCGGAAGGTCGGTAGTTCGGCAGTTTGAGACCCAAGTGCCGCATGACGGAGTGAGCTCCCGTCGCTGGCCCCAGCTCCTGCCAACCTAGCAGTTCGAAAGGAAGAAATTGCAAGTAGATAAATAGGTCCCGCTTCGGTGGGAAGGTAACAGCGTTCCGTGCGCCTCGGCGTCTAGTCATGCCGGCCACATGACCACGGAAACGTCTTCGGACAGTGCTGGCTCTTCGGCTTGGAAACGGAGATGAGCACCGCATCCCTAGAGTCGGATTCGACTGCCTTTCAAGCAAGGGAAACCTTTACCTTTACTATACCGCTCCAAGCCGCCAGTGTGACCGCAGCCTTTTTCTGGTATTTCCATCTCTATGTTCATTCCTACACCCTGCGTCCAAACCCTGCCATGAATTTCAAAGCTGTCTTACTTTGGTGGCAGCGAAGAAACTAGGGAATGGAGACCGATAGTGCCTCTTAAGGATCTTCGTGTCCTGTAGGGGAGTCGCAAAGCACTGCAGAGTTCATGAACCACCACCAGTTGGGTTGGCCACCCTATGGGCCTCTGGAGGCAGGCCTACCTTCTTCTCCCCATAGGACAGGTGCTTCTTTAGGATGGTCACACACTTAAAAAAAAATACCCCAGCTATTCTCTGCTTCCATGGACACCCCTTAATTTTACCACTCCCGCACTCTGTCATTTTGCAAGGGGTGTTTGTCTAAATCATGGTAGACGTGCTAGGAATAAGGCCCGGTTCCAGACGAGTCGGAAGGTCTTGGCCGTGTGGTTTGCACATTTGCAGCAGGTTGTTTATGTTGGACCCTCTGAGGCATACCGAGTCAGCACATCTGTGCAGCGCCTGCTGGGGCTATAAATCCTGTAGTGTGCTACCAGTACATGCCCGGGCAAGGTGACCCGGTTTAAAGAAGGGCGCGTTCAGTGCTGCGCGAGTAAGTTTTCCTTCCTTCTTTGCAGTCACACTTCCACTTAGGTCTTTGAATTGTAGCCTTAGGTCTTTGAATTATAGAAGAGAAACAGATCATAGCTGGACTTCTCCTCCTCCCCCTCCCCTTCCTCCTCTTCCTCCTGCACTCTTCCCAACGCATTCCTGGTGAGTGCATCATATATCATCCCCTTGGTGCTGGTGCTATTCACAAAGGCACCTCGGTTTAAACTGCAGAGATACTACTTTTTTTTACTGCATTTTTTCCCACGGAGCTGGTGAGAATTCCGGAAGCTGCATGGAAGCCGGGGGAGACGAAAACAGAAGCATACGGTCAGATGGAACATCCTTTTTTCTTTGTTCTCTCTCCACAGGGTCATCCGGGTCAAGGTGGATCTCGGGGGAAACCTGGCCACGATGGCTGCAATGGGACCAGGGGAGACCCTGGCCAGGAGGGAACCCCGGGGACTCCAGGCTTGCCTGGTTTCTTTGTAAGTGGCCAGCAGTGACTGTATATACCACACAACCCTAATGAATACTGCCCAAGCATCTACAGAGACTCAGCTCTGTCCCGTTGAACCGGGATCAAATTCTGTACCTGTTACCCAATGGATCCTCAATGCCAGATTCCAATTAATGAAAGCATTTCCAGGGTATAAGGAATTGAAATCCTAAGTCTCAGCGTAGGCCCAGGGAAGTATGAACTGTGTGCTGCTGTGATTATGAGCAGGCATCCCAGTGCACTGAGTTGCTGAATGTTGTTCATACTCACTGACTGCGTCTGCATGGGGAGGGGCCGTGGCACAGCGGCAGAGCCAGTTTGGTGTCGTGGTTAGGAGCGCGGACTCTAATTCTGGGAGAGCCAGGTTTGATTCCCCGCTCCTCCACATGCAGCTGCTGGTGTGACCTTGGGTCAGTCACAAGTTCTCTCAGAGCTGTTCACTCAAGGGCAGTTCTCAGGAGAGTTTCTCAGCCCCACCTACCTCACAGGGTGTCTTGTAGTCTGAACAGTGATCCAGAGGTGGAGAGTTGTGCCTAAGCAGTCATGCGTTTCCCCAGCAGAGAGGAAGGGACAGGCCCATAGTTATGGTGGGGTTTGGGGGGGTTCTGCCCTCTTTCTTAAAGGCACAGTCACAGCAAGAATTTTCCCGTAAATGCTTTTTTCAATCATTTAAAAACATTTTTAAAGGCGTGTGCTCCTTTAAGAAGAGTGGGGTGCTGTAGTTGACTAATTCCCACATTGAGCAAGGGGGTTGGAGTAGGTGACCTCTAGGATCCCTTCTAACTCTATGTCAAGAAACTGGTCTCCTTTAAGAGAGTTTTTCTGCCTAAGGGTTAGTTTTCTTGACTCTAGAAGTCATCACCTCCACCTGCCGGCTTGTTCTCAGAATTATTGCTGAGGCTGGCAGAAGTGATTAACTTGCAGCAGCTGAGAACTGTCCTCTAAAGTGGTGGACAGCTTGCAATTTAGAGATCTCTCCTGGGAGCAGCTTTCTTTTGGCTAAATGGTTAATGGGCTATGGGTGATTGCTAGCATATGAACACCTCTGTAGAATAGGCAGCTTGAGAAGACTCAAAAAGAGAGAAGAATGGCTGAGTCAGAATCCTCAGAATTCTGGCTTTTCTTTCTGCACTGAGAACTTCAGCCCCATCAGACGAAAAACATAGCCACAGAATTCCTGGCTATGGGCCTGGGAAGAGATCACTCCTTCTGAGAAACAGGCTTCTTGGATTGACTCCTCCAGCTCTCTTCTGCCGCAGTCCTCCTGCACATGGGCAAGCGATGGCCAAGCCCTTGGGCAAGTGGAGGAAGGGACAGGAGAAAGGGAAGGCAAGCGAAGGGGTCTGACTCCTGGATGGGGCAGTTGGAAGCCACGGAGGCAGAGCGAAGGAAGGCTAGAGAGGGGGCGGGTACAGAGTTTTGGCTGAGCACTGCTGCCCAGTTCTGTTCTGTGCCCTAAAGACGGGAGCAGGAATCATAGACGCATAGAGTTGGAAGGGACCTCCAGGGTCATCTAGTCCAACCCACTGCACCGTGAGAGAGAGAGAGAGAGAGAGAGAGAGAGAGAGAGAGAGAGAGAGGAGAGAGCCAGTTTGGTGTAGTGGTTAAGTGTGCGGACTCTAATCTGGGAGAACCGGGTTTGATTCCCCCACTCCTCCACTTGCACCTGCTGATGTGACCTTGGGTCAGTCACAAGCTCTGGGACAGCTGTCCTTGAAAAAGAGCAGTTTCTGTCAGAGCTCTCTCAGCCCCACCCACCTCACAGGGTGTCTGTTGTGGGGAGGGGAAGGGAAAGGAGTTTGTAAGCCGCTCTGAGACTCCAAGTGAAGGGTGGGGTATAAATCCAATCTCTTCTTCTTCACTATGCAGGAAATTCACAAATACCCCCCCACCCCCAGTGACCCCTGCTCTATGCCTAGAAGAGGGCAAAAAAACCCCTCCAGGATCCCTGGCCAAACCGGCCTGGAGAAAAATTGCTACCTGACCCCAACGTGGTGATCAGCATTTCTCTTGGGCATGTAAGAAAAGGCCACAGGAACTAACCGCTGATTCAATCCTTCCTGCCCTCCCTTCTTGTGATCTGCATGAGTTCACAGGATCATCAGTGCTGTCAGGTGGCCACCATCTTTACAGGCTTCCCACTGAGCCCACATCTTGGTGCCGTCTAGTCACGGCCGACTGAAGGCGACCCCTGGTGGGGTTTTCAAGGCACAAGAACTAGGGCCAACCCTGCTTAGCTTCTAACAAGATCAGGCTAGTCTTGGCCATGCAGATCAGGATCATAGAAATCATAGAGTTGGAAGGGACCACCAGGGTCATCTAGCCCAACCCCCTGCACAAGGCAGGAAATTCACAAATACCTCCCCCTCCACACCCACAGGGACCGCTGTTCCTCACCCAGAAGATGACAAAAAACCTCCAGGATCCCTGGACAAACCAGCCTGGAGAAAAATTGCTTCCTGACCCCAAAGTGGCAATCAGCATTTCCCTGGGTGTGTGAGAAGGGGCCGCAAGAACTGAGCACTGAGGCAACCCTTCCTGTCAGTTTGGTGTCGTGGTGAAGTGCGCGGACTCTAACCTGGGAGAACCGGGTTTGATTCCCCACTCCTCCACTTGCACCTGGCTGGATGACCTTGGGCAAGCTGTAGTTCTGATGAGAGCTGTCCTTGAAAAAGAGCAGTCTCTGTCAGAGTTCTCTCAGCCCCACCCGCTTCCCAGGGTGTCTGTTGTGGGGAGGGGAAGGGAAAGGAGTTTGTAAGCCGCTCTGAGACTCCTTTGGGTAGTGAAGGGCGGGGTATAAATCCAAGTTTGTAAGCCACTCTGAGACTCCTTTGGGGAGTGAAGGGCGGGGCATAAATCCAATCTCTTCTTCTTCTTCTTCTGCCCTCCTTCTCATGATCTGCCTAAGTTCACAGAGTTCATGATCTGCCTAAGTTCGGGATGCCCACCTATTCCAGACAGACAGATGTTTTACCAAGCTGGCTCACTGGATGCCTGTTCCATATAGGGGTCTATACGAAGTGTGTCTATTAATATGAATTAAATCCGCATGCATTTGTGACTGCAATCATTCACATCCATTGGTTTGGGAATGCTCCCTCTAAGCTGTGGAGTCCTGTGAGCAAAAATTCTACTCTGTGAGCTACGGACGTTAAAGTTGTGAGCGAGCGATTTGCCTGCTGCACAAATTAGTTTGCTTTGGAGCCATCCTTCCTGAGCGAAGACAAATATGTGTGAGCCAGAGGCTAAAAAAACCATGAGCTAGCTCACACTGAGCTGCAGTGGCTCAAGTGGTTAAGACGCTGAACTGCAGGCTGTGGAAGGTCGGTAGTTCAGCAGTTCGAGACCCGGGTGCCGCATGACGGAGTGAGCTCCCGTCTCTAGTTCCAGCTCCTGCCAACCTAGCAGTTCAAAAGTAAGAAATTGCAAGTAGATAAATAGGTACCACTTCAGTGGGAAGGTAACAGCGTTCCGTGCGCCTTGGTGTTTAGTCATGCCGGCCACATGACCACGGAAACGTCTTCGGACAGCGCTGGCTCTTTGGCTTTGAAACAGAGATGAGCACCGCAACCCTAGAGTCGGATTCGACTGGCTTTCGAGCAAGGGAACATTTACCTTTACTAGCTCACACTAACTCAGCTTAGAGGGAACACTGTGAATTGGGATGCCTGCAGTCTATTACTGTTGTTACGCTTGATCCATCTCATAAATCTGCTAGGTGAACAGCGGACTATCTCTGTGGAGTCCGGGGGGGGGGGGGAAGAGGGAGAGTTCTGCTTGTGCCTGAAAGAGCTCTGTGAAACACCCGCGTTGCTGATGCTC